TAAAGTAATAACTAATCGAACCCCCAAAGTAGGAGATGTAGTAAACATTAAGAAAACGTAACTCGGGGGAGCTGGAAGTTAGGAAGAATAGTATACTTAAATATTAGTGAAGATAATCTCATAAGATCTGTACGGGTAAGTATGCCAAATGGAAAGGAATTAATCAGACCTATCAGTTTATTATACCCCGTAGAGATAAGTAATTAACCGTTTCAGACAGTTATACGCGAAAGTAAATTTTCCATTTCTCAAAGAAAATCAAACGGTGAGTATATCCAATACGTCCAATTACGACGAGCATTACTCGGAAAAAGAAGAAAAAGCATTACGAAAACCCCTCTACTATTTCGTTGCACAAATACAGCGTAAGAAGATCATTCTGACCTTAGTCCGGACCAGACACAATAAAATTGAAGACGATGTACCAATGCTGATGGACATCAACCACGCCAATGTTTCTCCGACGCCTAAATGTCGACCTTTCGATCTCATTCTCGTACACACTTATACAGTGACCATGTTCGACGGGATAGAACAAAATATTCAAAAATTCAAGACAGATACTATCCGAGATCGGTGGAAGAATCAAATGATCATTTCTACTACTCACGTTAAATCTTACGAAGTGATACACCGAAGGAACGAAGTGTGGATACCAGGCGATGTTCAGTACACACAACATCAAACCACCACCAGGAGTGGGTAGAAGATGTATATGGACGTCGTCTTCAATGGATTGTATGTCCAACAAAGACTGTACGACACCCAACTGAGCGACTTCCATAACCATCTACCAGAAACCGTAGCGATAGTGGGTTTGAAAGCAACTATATTACCCAGAGGGGAATTATATTCTGAAAATTATTTTTTATTGAAGTGTCGACAAGCTGTTAAGTTGAAAGACGATTATCCAAATCGCTCTAGAAAAGATCGTATCGTTTTCATCCAGTACTTGCACAAATTATCTATCGAGCCTTCTACGGTTCCGAATTAATCCCAATACCTACTAATCAAGACCGGACATTGTGGAGACAGATGAAATTTCCTCACCCGTACAACGAAGTACTAGTTCTATTTTTAGACGTTCCTGGAGAAGAAATCCACACTCCTTCATTCACTTGGACAAATGTCGAACAGATCAAGGCAGCGCAATTTATTTACAATTTAAAACGACAAAAAATTGCAGGGAAATTTGTTGTTCTCTGCAATTACAGTTCGACAGTAAAGGACCTAAAGAATCTAGATGAGTGGATACCTATTTTTACAGTAGACTCCTTCATGGGAAAAGAAGCGGATATTGTCAGATCACTAACAACACGGTCAACAACGGTACTTAATGAGGAAATAGGACAATTTCTAATTAACGACCAACGTCTCACAGATGCTTTAATTTGTGCGCGTGAAGGAATGGTCATACTGGGCAGTCGAATTGTATTGGAAAGAAGCCAACTTTGGAGAAAACTGCTTTAAGACCTTGATACTCAATTAGCTCCAGTTTCACTCAATGATTTGATGGATTTTTATACATCTAATAAAATATGATTTTTGTCCGGTGGGAGTGTTGTAGTTAATACTCCAATGAGGTACTAAACAAATTACGGTTTGTTGACAACTTATTAAATATGTGTTACAATTAGGTAAATTAGTAAATTGACCGCCAAGATAAAAGGATATTTTGTTGTATTAGATCTCCCAGAACTTAAGAAAATGGAGGACGCTTGTGTGTTCAATCCTGTGTTCCCGTCACTTTGAGAGTATAAATGTTTTAAAACAATTAGGAGGGTTTATTGTTGCTTCAAGCCTTATTCAGATATTCTTATTCTTCTTCAAACTTATTCTAACTTTCTTTCATTACTATTCTAATTTTATTCTTTTACGTTCCTTTTCATCTCCCTATTGAATATATTCCTTTGCCTCTATTCCTCAGTAAGGTTTCATTATTCCTTTAACGATTTATTGAATTATAATTTGTTTTATAGTTAGTCTCTCTCGTTGTCTACTGTATTTGTCTTTAGTATTTGTATCAGGATAAATTAGTTTTCTACCTTAGCTATAGGTGCAATAAAAAAAGGTAACCCAAAGAGTGGGAACTGTAGGCTGATCTATACAGTAGTAGAATCATTAGAAGCTTACAGTAAGAAAATTAGAGACGGTCTGGTATAACCGATCAAAGAATCATACTTTAAACTAGATACTGTGAGCGGAGACCTAAGTTCCAGTACAAGATGAGAATTTTGACGATTGGGTATCCTCAAGACTCTGCGTTAAAGGGCCAAAATACGATATATTCAAACGGTAAAAAATCTGACGAAATGGATTCCTGGAAAATGACAATGTCTTAAAAGAATTACCAATGATTCTAAAATGTTGACAAAGCAAGTGTTCAGACTAATGGTTGCTTTCAGTGCTAAAACCTTTTCCAGCTCTTTCTGTTCCTTGTAAGGACCAGTTAAGTTATTAAGTGTTAATTAAAAATGAATAGTATTTGTTTATGTGTTTTAATCACATTATTTAGGCAAATACTTATTGAAATGACGCATATAAAACCTTCACTTTTTTACTTCTAACTGTTCTTAATTTTGGAAAAATACGTTTATTATCTGTGTTTTCACTATAACGAGGAAGAAATGAATTTTTTCAACAATTTGGGTATACAGTGAGCTGTGCATCTTTGTCTCTGTTAATTGACAGCTGTAACTAAGAACTGGGTTGATGTTAATTTTTGTACCACAAAAATATTTATGATCTCTACATCTCATTTCTGTTATTTTAACAATAAGTAGCAAATAACTTGTGAAAAAAATGTATGTTGCTTTTTTTCAATTTTAAAAGACAACTATTTTATTTATACATCCGTTACAGTTGTCATTTCGCAATTTTTAGGGATCAAATGATGTATTAAAAGGATTACAACCTATAAAATAGTTAACCTACAGATGGGATTTTGCCGAACTGAACTGATAATATATAATTGGATGTATACAAGTAAAAAGTGACCATTAACAGATTTTATACTTACATTCAGTCAACTGATTTGTAGATTTCAGTTACTTTTATTTCAGATGATGTCAAGCGCTATGTGCATAATTTCTGCTTATGCTAATGACTGTTTAATGGATAGCGAGGGGTGTAGTGTCCTAACGATTCGGCTGACAATACCTGATGGCTGACGTCTGCTAAAACTGCTGACGAGCGACTATTGCGCTGTAACAGTTGTGATTTTGAATTTGTTTCCTCGATTGGCATTTTATTGAACAAAACGAAAAGTAGGCACCGGACAACATCGCAAACTGCATTTGTATATTTCAAAATATAACAATGGACGGCGGAACAGGAGACGAGAGTGTCTGCTTTGGTTCAACTGTCACTAAATTTTTTTCTCAGTTTTCTTGGCATCATGGATTTGAACACTGCATTTTTTTCTTGATTTTTCTCTTTTTTTTGTGGTTTTATAATGTGTTCTAATTTGTTCTTCATCTTTTTGCCATTGTTGTAGTAATAGTAATTAAACAGCCGTGTGTATTGAGTTGATTTGTTGGCTTTATAAAATTTCTGTACTAATATAGTGCTGGTCAGATATTTATATTGGTTCCAGTTTTTCCGTATTTTCTGTAGCATTTTTTTCTTTTTGTTAGCGAAATTTTTTAGTGATCTTTGGCTTTGATCCGTTCCAGTGGCGTTAATCTCTGTTTGTTTTCAGATGCTGCTAATCAAAGCTCTGTGCATTCCGTATGCTTGGAAAAAAATTCTCCAGTAGCTTCCGCCATTTTTAATTCCTCTATTTATTTATTTATTTTTTGTTTTTTTATTTTCTGATTTACACCTGTTTTAAGCTGTTTTTTATTCAAGTAAGAATTAGAAAAAATTCTTTTAATTCTCAAACGTTGTGCTCATTGCGCGTTATAGTATGGCTATAGTCGGATTTCTTTTGACAGTTTGCCAGTTTTTCGTCATGCGCTCTACTATTGCAACTGTTCATTAGTACATAATAAAAAGTCGGTGTGGTGAACCTCTTGAACCTGTAGCTTGAACTCTCACAACCGCTTTTCCAGTGGCAAACCGTTTATTCAACTGATTTTATTTGAAGATTTTTCTTTTTTATATTTTCTAACAATACTGAACTTCATCCGAGCAATTTGCGTTCTTGATGGTGGTCCCAATTATTGTGTGATAAACCGTAGATCGGGATTTGAAAGAGAATTATTTCTTTTTTTTTTTCTATTAAAAAAGAATTTTTCAAAGCCTATTGTTTTTCTAACTACTTTTTCATGATAACTTCCAGTTCTCTATCATTTGTTATCATATCTGCGAGTGTCACCAGCCCTTTTTTTTTGGCGTTTTTTCTTTTTGGCAAGTTACCATTTTTCGTAAACGGTATATTCAACTATAGTACCAGGTCATATGAACAGTTTGATGAGTAGTTGTACTGGGTATACTGGGACTGCGGGTTGTCTTTGTTTATAATTGGAGAAAAAAGATTTGGATAGTGGTGAATGTGTTGTATAGTTGATTACTGTTGAACAATTAAAATTAAACCAGTGGGGTTGCAGTGAGCGCTATAATGCTTGTCTTGACCTGCATTGTACAAAAAAGCATATTAAACCGGTGAATCAGAAGAATTTTGAAAAGTGAGAAGTTTAATGAAAGAATGTTTTTCTTTCATCAGCAGAAAAGAATAAAAAGTCTCTTGCAAGGATCTCTCTTCAGGATTACCGCGTCCTCACTTGTGTGTTTTCATTAAATTTCTTGAAAGTAAGGGTATCATTTTTTATGGTACACAAACGGTATTTTCTGAGGAAAATGTGATGAAACAGTGTGTCAAATTTCTCACCTTTTGTGAATGGAACGGGAATGTTCAAGTCGGGTTTCTGATGATTGGCACTGTGCCGAGTGGTGATAAGCTGTCAATAGCATTCGTACGCGTCGAACAATATGCAGATGGTTTTGTACGTTATATCCGTGTAAAGCAAGTTGATTTGTAAACTCTTGCACAACTTCGTTAAGTGTTAATTTGAGTTTGCTCGGTCTTATGGGGGCTGCCCTTTTTGCAGTACTTTCCGTTCTGTAGATCGAAAATTAGATACATTTGTTCTTTAAATACAGCGAGACTTTTGTATAAAAATTCTGGTTACCCTGAACCACTGCTGAATTATTTGGAGAGATGCTTAGGAGAAGAATGAGGAGTTTACTGCTGGTTAAGCTAGCGTTTAAAGTTGTTAAGTTTAATAAGAGAATGACTTAATCTTTTTTTTGCTGAGTTATAATAACATCTAGGTTAAACAGTTTTAAACTATAGCTGTAAGGATAAATTTGATGATTCCGACAAGAACTATCAATATGCAAGCGTGATTAAGCTCTCTTGAATTCACAGTTAGTAATACTTGAATGCTACACTTTGGATCAGTTTGTTTGTATACAGATCTTTGACTTAAATAACCGTTCCTAATTTTTATGTTGCTTGATTATTTCAAGAAGAGAACATACATTTTATGCACGGAATAAGTTTCCTTTGAAGTACTGTAAGTCATGAAGCATTTAAAATTTTAATGCTTCTTGATGAGTTTTTTTCAGTTTAGTGTACACTTATGGTGTTTCGACGTGCGGCCTGTGTATTTCTCATATCCACTTTTGTTTTTAATGCTTTCCTTATTTTTACACTTTGTTTGCTAGAAGATGCCGGTACAGTGATAAACACATTTCTTTAAAATGTTGTTGAAAATCTGCTGTAGCTTTTTTAGCAGTTGTTGGGTAAGACCATACAGTCGCGATAATGGCGTTTTATGTTTTATCCGGTACAGCACTTCAAATGATGGGATCTCATTTTTCCTCCGTACGACCTTCTGCAGCCCATTCTGTATCAGCTACAAAGCTGTCTCGAACGATGGTAACTGATGCGATTACTCGAAACATTTATCATAAGGTGTTTTTCCAAAATATTGAACCTGACCGTTTGGTGACCATGATCAGAGGTTTGATTTTTCCACTGTTTCATTTATGTGTTTATTTTAGGAATTTTTGGTTTTCATCACCAGTTGGGAAAATAATAAGTAATTTCATGAGTTAAAATTTAAAAGTT